TACAATTTTTATTATGTCGACTTGTCAAGATAATCTATCTCGCCATGTCGACATGATATGTATATTATGTCGACTTCACAACATAAATTATCTTGACAAGTCGTCAAGTCGAATGGCACTTAGGTGCTTCCGTATAAATCCATGTGATTTTGCTCTTATTTCTAGAAAGGATGGTCTAAAGAGTAAGAGTGCGGATTGAGGACAAACTCACTGGTACAAATACTTGGTATTAAACAATATTTGGTACCTTCAAGCATGGAGAAGTTATTCTTGTGTGATTTGAATTGTTTTATTAGTAAACTGGTAAAAACGAGGTTAAATTACGAGAAGGTTGGTAATACGTTAACGACAAAATAGGACTATTAAAAAAAATGTATATAATATATATAATACATAATTAGCAAAATAAAAACAATTAAAAAAACCGTTTGTTTAATCCAAAATTGGATTCAGAACAGAGATTTACAAACACAAAAACAATACAAAAGATGTGTAGTGTAAAAAAAACCCAAATTTTTAAAATATTTTTATACTATATACATACTTTTTGTACTATTGTATTTGCAGAGCTTACAAGTATGGCGTTTCGGCAAAGCTCTGAGTTTTCAATCGAAAGATGTTAAAGCCTGGGGCTGAATACTACTTAGTAGTATTTGTATAGTTATTGTATAAAAATAGATTATCAACTGCAAAATATAAACACAATTTTGTTACCACAATGTAATAATTAAGAAAAAAAACCCGTTAGGCCTACACAAACAAAACACGTTCCAAATGCATTATCATTGCATCCACACTTATCCAAAACTAAATTCCTACAGCACCATAAAATACTTTCAATTTAATGTTTAAAGTTTACTTCATTGTGTTCTTGACCTACAGTAGTATGAACATAGTATTATGTGAAAGTACGTCGTTGGCATTAAAAGATAATTTTAATATTTCCTCTAAAGTAATATGGTTCCGTTATAGTGTCCCAGATTGTGTTAGTGGGCTTTATTGTCGCACATATCCTAACATATAGTATAGGTCCAGATAGGTAAATGTTATATTATCTATTGTTTAGTACTATGCATTTATTATAATAAAAATTTTTATATTAACAAGTTCTATATTTCATATCTTTCACTGTTTTATTATTATTATTATTATTATTATTAGGCCTATGCCATGTATTGCTGGTGGAAAATAATTTATATTTATTCAATACAACAAAATAATGTTTAGTAATTATGACAAAATGTTGATGAGAACCATTGATTGATTGATTGATTACATTGGTTTGCATATATCCTATATGTTGACAAAATAAAATTTAAAAAAAAAAAAACCAAAACAATTATACCGAAAAACCCCTAGAATTTTAGAATGAAAGATACAAGCAAATATGATTGTAACTGAATGTAAATGATTGAAAATGTATAGGCGTATGTGAAAAATAAGCTAGTGTCGTCACGACAAAAACAAAAACCTTCCGAGTTAGACTCCGTTTCATAAATCCGATACAATAACATTTAAGAAGTACCGTAGTGTTTTGAAATGTATGCATATACTGTATTCGATTTAAAAAGTGTAATGAGTCAAATATTCGACACCCCCCCCCCTCCTTTTTTTTTTTTACAAAATTTATAACCATTCTGGTAAGAGCCAATGCTCAATATCAATTAAATCTTATGGTATACTGTAAGTATTAATACATACACTACAATAGGCAATCATAAAAAGTGATAATATTTATTATATTTATTATGATAATGATTTAATGCAACAGCTTACTGATGTATTTTAGTTTTCTACAAAATATACACAGTATTAAAAACAAATCAAGAGGGGAGTTTGAGTTCCAGAATTAAATTGAATAGTATTTTCATTGCCATTGTTTGGGGTTCAGAGCCATGGTACATTGAAGTTAATATTTAGACTTTTTTTCCCTCCCTTTCACTTGACGTTTACATAGACAGCTGGCATAACTGGATTGTCATAATTCCACTGTAGGTCTTCATACGTCTTTTTATCTGCCATCGGCTCACCTTTGTACGCCGTATAAGCCTGAAAAAATAAGAATGTAAAAAAAATAATGTTTAATATCTATGGTTGTCGTGACAGTTGTGCAGCCAGTGTTCAACTCGCAAGAGTTAAGTGCAAACGTTTTGTAATCCAAGGTGCTACAAGCTAGTTCTAGGTGGAAGGTTTTGGCGTACATCCAGTGAACTAAGAAGTTAATCATTATAAACTAGGCCTACTTATTTATTGAAATGACACAAATTCTTTTACATTTAGAATCAGACGAGCCTAGACAGGTTGCACTTATATTCCAATTTTCTATATCATTTATGTCAACACTTATGTACTGGTCATATTCTATTATAGCTAATAGTATGAATCGAGAACCAAAAATTATTGTCATCGATCGAACAAGTGAACAATGAAATTTGTTTTGCCAATTGCTCACTTAAAAAAAAAATTATAACAATAATTTATGGTTAAGTTAAACACAATATTAAAATATTAAAGCATTAAAACTAAAACGTATGACAAACAAACTAATACTGTTTTGACGTTTAACGTTACATAATAAATGCCACGTTTTCTTACCGATGAATGTTTTCCATCTCTTGGAGTTGCTTCGGATACCTTAGAGATAAAGTATATATTTCTTTATTTAGATTAAATTATTTTGGAATGAAACACGTAAAAAGCAAAACAAATCCTAATAATGTATCACAAATAAAATCACGATAAACAAAACAAACCAATCAGCAACCATTACATAGCTTTAATTACTTAACAATCGTTGAAATAGGAGGCCCTTCCATTTGTTATACAGATTCTCGTACACAATATAATCAGCTCACGATTTATGGATACCCCTTTCCATATTGTGGAAATAATTAAAATAATTAATTAATAAATATTTGTTTACCAAGTTTATAACATTAATAATATCAGTCTATCAAAAAGCAATTCAATGTTCTTTTGTTTTTTGATTTCTATGGGTTTTATCACAGAGTAATCATCTTACCGTCGGTAGTTCGTAATCTCTGGATGATGCTTCAATTACCTTTAAGATAAATGACGTATTAGTAAGATATTGAAGTAAATTTTACTGTTTTGTTGGAAACAATTGGTAAGATAGTCATCATAAAAGTATTTGAGCGTCTGGCCTAGAGGTAATGCTGCTGGTTCTTGTGTTGAAAACCTCTATTCATATCCGGTTAAGGGCTCGCTCTTCGAATAACCCTCGCACATCAAAATTACGTCGGTCAATGGACATGATGCTATCTTATTAGGAATGATTATTGATTTGGCCATCACATTTTATTACATTTAATCGTTCCTTATCGGCCGAAAATGATCATGTCAGAAGGTAGTTATCATTTTGTGTTTCATCACAAATGTAAATATCAGCAGATCAACTATCGATAGCTCCTTTACAGAGTGAAGGCCAAGCAATACGCGGTGACGGTTTCTCTTCCTTTCAAAGGAGGTTTATAACGACACAGTGTCCGAGCTATGAATAATAATAATAATAATAATGTATAGGTGTAATCAAGTTATTGTCTATTATTCCATCACGACAATAACAATTACTATCAATAATAATAATAATAATAATAATAATAATAATAATAATAATAATAATTATTATTATTATTATTATTATTATATATATATTATATAATAATAATAATAATAATAATAATAATAATAATAATAATAATAATTATTATTATTATTATTATATAATTATAATAGCGCCTAATCCGCCTTAACGATAGAGTACACTCATAGCGCTTAATTCACTATAAAGACTGCTTTGAAAGCCAATAATTAAACACAAGGCTCACGAGAAACTTGGTTGGTTTCTCATCAGTGCCTATACACCTGTACATCTGAGTAAACCAGGGGCGTATTTAGAGGGGCCTGCCCCGCCCCCCAACCACTTTTGAAAAATTTCGCAGGGGCATGCCACCAGACCCCTTGAATAGTGTTATCTCAATCGGCCCCACTTTCGGTCCCCACTTTCCGGACATCTATGGATCCGCTCCAGTAAACTATTGATAATTTATGTACAGAGCAAAGGTCCACAAATTTGGAACACTGCTCAATAATATATATATGAGCATGTAAATATGTTAATAAATGTTATGTTTTAGGAAATTCAGCATTTATGACAGTATTCCTTTATCCTTCTTACGCCTAGTCCTTCGTAATGTCTGGATGGTGTTTTAAATATATTTAAAGTAAATTGTATTAATTAATTAAACAGTTAAGTCCTTCGTAATGTCTGGATGGTGCTTTGAATATATTTAAAGTAAATTGTATTAACCAATTAAACAGTTAACGGTATTTAAATTTAAAACAAACGTTTGAGAATTTTTTCGTCTTTTAGTAAATTTTATCATTCTAATACTATTTGTAAATACACTATCTCATCGTAATTCATGCAAAACAACAACGTTATCATTAGCAAAACATTAGTACATTTATAACAAAGAATGTCAAGACTGTTAATCCTTATGTCTTTAAAGACTATTTTATATTGCGTAAGTAGTCATGTGTGGAGGCAAAGTATTGCTTCATATTCAATGAAGTTTTGTAGGCCTACATTATTACATACATCATACTAGAAAAATAATAAATATTATGCAAATTAACAGAATAAAATATTGATGATGATGATGTATAATATACATCATCATCATCAGTTTATTCTGTTAATTTGCATAATATTTATTATTTTTCTAGTATATAGCAAAGGTCTACCAATATGGAGCACTGCTCAATCCTCACATAATCGACTTTGCCCTCGAGGCGCGTGATATTCCTATCCTGTTGGTATCTCACCTGTGCCTTTGAATTTCTCATCTTTCTGAGGACGCAAAATATAGATAAAGACAAAAGGATTCCGAAGAAGAAACCCAAAAACGTCATTCCAACAAGAAGACCAGCATCTGAGCCTGAACATTTCAGTGGTACTTTGGTAAACAATAAAAGGATATTGACATGGCATTGTATGAATACAGTGCATTACAAATATTTATGTGCTAGTCAAACATTATATAAATTTACAAAAATATTTTTATAATATTTGGAAATTTAGTAGGCCGACATAATGTTAGGTACCATATTATTAGAATTATCGTACACAACAACTCCTATAGGTTCATAGGTTTGCTAAAATAGTTTACGTAAGTTTCTAAGTAATAATTTTACTTTTATTTCACTCGTTTTGATTTAAAGACAAAACGACCGAATTATTCGGATACCTTCACCAATTAAATGATTAATGAAAATACGTACCCGTGGCTGCAATACTTGATACGGATGTTGATGATGTGACTAATGCAAATGAAACAATTTTATAAGAAACAAAACTGAATATAGTGATGTACAAAAATTATTTTCTTTTCATTTGCAAATAATCGTAAAAATATGAATAAAAGGAATACGTACCTATGGTGAAAGAACTGGCTATGGATGTTGATGGAGCTAATGAAAAAGAAATTAATGTTCCAAATTGAAAACAAAATACTAAATATAATATTGAAAGAGAACATTAATAATAAATAATGTAAGATAGTTTTTTAGATAGTATTCAATTTTATTCTATAATATTGTATTGTAGATTTTTAATTTAATATTCCCACTATTATTAAGTAATTTTACTTACAAGTGAGACTAAACAATGACAGTGTTCCTTTATCACTTAGCTTTCCTTCATTTCCATTGTAAGCTGCATTCTCTGTTCGACATTGGTAGTCTCCTTCGTCCATTTCATTGACTCTGCTGATCTCTAATGTTGTATCTGACTGTGGATACTTCTCAATATCAGACACATCGAGTACACCGCCATCTTTGATCCATGTGGTGGTGATAGGTGTTGGATCACCATTGGGCAAAGGGCAGGTAAATGTCGTAGTTTTGTTTCTATTGACATATTTCTCTTTCGGTGCCAGTATTGGTGTCTCAAGGTCTGTAATGACAGTTCCAAAACTAATATA